AGCTGGTTAAATCATCTGCAGCTGGTTTAATGATCTGCAGCTGGTTCAATGATCTGCAGCTGGTTCAATGATCTGCAGCTGGATAATCTGCAGCTGGTTCAATCATCTGCAGCTGGTTCAATCATCTGCAGCTGGTTAAATCATCTGCAGCTGGTTAAATGATCTGCAGCTGGTTTAATGATCTGCAGCTGGTTCAATCATCTGCAACTGGCTCAATCATCTGCAGCTGGATCATCATCTGCAGCTGGTTCAATGATCTGCAGCTGGTTAAATCATCTGTAGATGGATAATCTGCAGCTGGTTAAATCGTCTGTAGATGGATAATCTGCAGCTGGTTCAATCATCTGCAGCTGGTTAAATCGTCTGTAGATGGATAATCTGCAGCTGGTTCAATCATCTGCAGCTGGCTCAATCATCTGCAGCTGGATCATCATCTGCAGCTGGTTCAATGATCTGCAGCTGGTTCATCAGCTTCAGCAGCTTTCCATGCTGACTGAGTCTAAATCAGGTCGGATTCTGAGCGGAGTTTGCTTCAGGTGGCGACAGGTGTTCCTGCTGTTCGCTCTGCATGGTTTTCTGCTTTTACCTACAGCTGTTCTGTATAGAAGCCTGTTTCCGACAAATGAAAATAAAGAAATGCCAAATACTCATAATTGTTAGATTCCAAGTCATAATTTGGACGTTCAAAGTTTTAATGAGATACAAATTCATAATTATAAGATACAAAGTCATTATTTCAACGTTCAAAGTCATAATTTCGACTTTCAAAGTCAAAACTTTGACTTGGTATTTCATAATTATGACTTTCAAAGGGACTTTGAAAGTCATAATTATGAAATAACAAGTCACTTTGAAAATCAAAATTATGACTTACAGAATTTGAAAGTCCAATATCTCATAATTCTGACTTTCTATTTGGTAATTTTTTTTAACTTTCTTATGGCAGAGACAGGCTTCCATAGTTCCGAATGTATGGCGAGAATATCGTTTTGATGTTACGCAAGATATGGTTTCAGAGATGGAACTTTATAAAACGTTTTCTTTTCTTTTTTTTTTACTTTTACATTTTTGAAAGGAAGTTTTTTTTTTTTATTTGCCTTAAAAAAACTTTGCTGCAGCTTCTATCAATTAAAGGTGTAAAATAGTGAGTATAACAGGGACAGGGGTGTAATGTAGCTTTACCCATTCTCAGTCAATAGTTTTGATTTATTTCAACTTTGATTATTTGAAATCCTTAGCAGACTGGGTTTTTATGAATTGCATTCTATTTTGGATCCTGCTTCAACAGAAATGCTAACGTTGACACAGCAGAATCATGGCTTTTGGTCAGCACACAGATCAAACAGAAGTGTAGAAGGATCTGAAAATTATGCAATTCCTGAAACTTAGTCTGCCAAGAGATTGAAATAAATTTAAAGAAATCTGAAAAACTGTAAAACTGTCATTCCTAAGATCTTTTTCCTAATTTTTCCAACTTTTATCCCTTTAGTTATGTACAAAAAAACTTACTTACTTTTTTGGTGTTTTTTGCAGTGGCATATCTGACCTTAAATTTTTTTTTTTTTGTACATGATTAAAGGGATACATGCCCCTCGAGGTAGTTTAAAGTCTATTTCTGACGTCTTGCGCATGTGTATTTACTATGGGTATTC